TCTCTTCTGTACCAACTGACGCCAATTGGAAATGCCAAGTGAAGCCAAGAACCTTCCACTTAGGCTTAAATTAAAGCTAGAACTACAGATTACTATCCCTGACAATACTATTCCTGCACCTTGCCCTGATGGTCACAATAATAAAAAAAATATTGAAAAATTATGCAATTGAAAAAAATTGTGTCAAAATCATGGTTAGCTGTTCAATAAATGACTATAGGTGACCTGAAGTCAGAAGTCCGAGCCTTTATTTAAGCCTAAGTGGAAGGTTCTATCACCTTTTCCTTAATTGCGGTAGGTACTCAAACTTCCCAAAATCAGTTTTTCAGGTTCATCAAATGACTATAAGTGACCATCAAGCAAAAGTGCAGGAATTTTCAGGGATGGTATTCGAGATTTTTAGCTTTAATCTAAGCCTAAGTGGAAGGTTCTACCACCCTTTTTTCTTTGCTAGAGCTTCTCAAATATTGAAAAAAACGCGATTTTTTGACACTTTGACCTCGTTTTTCTTAAAATCTGGAGCTGATGAAAATTCTATGCTAACGGATTCGTAATCAGCACAAAAAATCTGCCAAAAATAGAGTTAATATTTCCTGCATTATATTTTTCCATTTTAGTTGGCCTGTGTAATAAGCAGGGAACGGATTTTCAGGACCTAAAAACCTATAAAAAAGGCAAAATAAAGTAACGAAATAGGCTGGAAAAGGCAAAATAAAATAGCGAAAAAGGCACTAGGTATTGCAAAAAAGGCAAAAAAAGGCAAAACAAAATAGCGAAAAAGGCAGGAAAAGGCAAAAACAAAGGTATTGACAAAAAAGCAAAATAAGGCAATAAAAAAAGACAGAAAATACGAAGAACAATCAAAAAATATATTTATTTTAGAAATTTTTATATTACAAGTAAAAAAAGAGAAACTATGAACTAGGTTCATTATATGAAAAATTTTTACTATTTTATCCTTTCGAGTTTCTAACTCATAAAACTTTAATCTGTATACTTGTAGTAACATTGAACCACAAGATGCATTTTGAAGTTTTCTGGCAGCATTTTCATTCGATGTTCGCGAAGAAAAGCCTAGAGTGTACTAAATGTGCGCTCGACGTAAGTTGATACAAGTGGAGCCCAATTTAAATATGGAACGTTTGAAACGTTCATTTATCAGGAATAAGGGCGTTTTCCTCGCCTTTTACAATTTTATACACACCCCGTATTGTCTTCAAGCCTACGTCAGCTGAGAAAACGGCTTGGAATTTTTTCAACACCAATTTGGCAAGAGGTCCCTGCGCTTCTATAAGCCGCATGGGCATGTGTATATTTTTTAATCTTAAAAAAAAATTTGTAAATGCTATAATCACTTTTTTAAAGGTAGAAAAGGCAAAAAAGGCAAATATCTTAAAAAAGGCAAAAAAAGGCAAATATCTTAAAAAAGGCAACATCAAATGTGTATATATGGAATCAGGGAAAGCTAAATCGTGGACATTCTTAATCGAATATACTCTATCTCTTTAGCAGAAAAAAAGGCAATTTCCATAAAATCCGTTCCCTGGTAATAAGTATTGTTAAATAGCCAATACCCGCATGTTTGCGGCACCTTCAAATACCTTTCGAACTGTAAAACAATGACTCAATTCTATTCTACGCATATCTATAGTACAGGTATCGAACAAGATTTTTTGGAATAGATCGGTCCCAGGTCCACCTCTCAGAAAAGAGTATCCTATATGTTAATCCTGGCAATAAGCTACCTACGGGCCAAATTTCAAGCAAGTGGCACCATAAATAAGATTTTTTTGAATAGATCAATCCCTGGCCCACTTAACGGAAAAAATGTATCCTGTATGCTAATCTAAGTAAAAGGCTACCTACGTACTAAATACAGCTTTTTAGCGTAGCTCGACCCCTGCGCCACCTACGGAAAAAATTAAAAATTTGTGCACTCCTTCTAAACACCTTTCCAAAAACGCAGCAACCATTCGAATCGGTTATGAAACATAGGAGAAAATTGTTCCCAATTGATTCATGCTCACAATGAATTTCACAATTATCTGAAATTTTCGAAGCTTCACAACGAATTTTGCACCTTTACATCGTCCAAAATCATCAAATCATGCGATAAAATGCAAATTTCGTCGAAAAAATTCAAATTTTTCGCGTTCTTCGGGATTTTTCCGAGTTTTCCACTTATAATTTTCAATTTTTCCATTCGAAAGCCATTCCGAAGGAATTACTTACACACAAAATTCCATACAAAAAAATGAATTTTAGATTTTTCCAATTTCACCACTTTCGCGGAGGATTTCCCAAAATTTTCTTTCGTAAGAACCTTCTCCTGGCAATCAGGAACAACTAAAAAAAAGTTTAGCCAAATGGGCCCAACCGTTCTCAATTGATGAATTACTAAACATTTTTCATACTATTTTTATATATATAGATTATTTTCAGAAAATTTGCTTGAACTCCACCAAATCCCCCGACCTTAGATTTAATAGATAGTATAGATGGCACGACATCACAGTTGTCCACACAAACAAACTCAAAAGGACTGATACTAACATTTACACGTGCACATCAAGATATGTATTAGCTAAAGAACTGGGTGAACTGACAAAGTTTCTATTTAATTCGTCTAAATTTAGGTCGGAGTGAAGAGATAAACTTTCCTTTGCTTTTCCCATTCCAATTTCTTTTATTTTATTCCTCGTTTGATTTGGCAGACCTTATTGCTTTGTTAACAATGAGCGGAGCTGCTTTAAATCGGATTAATGCTTCAGGGGTTCTGTACCGCTTCCACCTCGCGTACGTTTGAATACGAGTAGCAATAAGGTTTTTTAATTTAGAAGGCCTGATGTTGCATTTTTCTATTTTGCGTCTGAGTGGAATGAAGTCATCAAAGAGCCTATTTATATGAGTAGTCCACTTGCAAACAGCGTTACGTGATTTTATAATAGTAAGCCATAAATTTAAAAAAAAAAACGTCTACAACAACAACTACAATCCAAGTTGTATCTTTTTTTTATTATCTGTATATTTGGATAAATAAGAGCCTAATAACATTAAAAAACAACATCGCAGTGTGGTAGTTTTTGCGAATTTTATATATAAAAAATTAATATAGCGATTTTTGAAACAGTAACTGTTACATAGCTAGCGTTGTTAGCTTTTCGCGTTTTCTCTTCCATGAAAATAGGTCTACTTCTTTTTTACGACGTCTTCCACTAGGCACCGAAACTACCACGTTTTCTTGCAGTTTTCTAAGTTCATCAGAAAACAAAGACCTTTGAACTTGTATAAATACGTACAATAAATATTATAGGACTTTTGAAAGTGGATATATACATACAGTAAGTATTATAGCGACTTTTGCTAGAGTAGCTAACATTTGATGATATTTTTTCAGAATATATAAGGATTTTGCACTGTATTGTTAGTGGACATGAAACTACTTTAAATACTGGTACGTTAACCGCCAAAAACTAAAAATCGAAAAAATTTTACATAGGGCACTGCTAGTGGACTACTCATATGTTCTTGAAGAAACTTTGTTTGGTCGTCAATAGTTACCAGAGTTCGAATCAGATTCCATCTCACTGACTCCACCGCATCAGTGAGGGAGGTATAGTTGATGTTTTTGAAGTCTCGGTATGTGAAGCATGTTGGTGCTCTGATTGTTTGAAAATCAAAAATCAAGACGTGTTTCGAAAATTTAGATGCAGACAGTTGGCTACAGTGGAGGCATTTACTAAGGTCATTCACAAAAAATATATCAAGCAAAGTGATGTTGGTGTTATAAAATGTGTTGGTAAGTAGGTGTTAGTAGGAAAAAGTCCTAGACACTCCATACCAAGTTTTAAGCTGCAACCGACAATCAGGTTGCTGTTGAAATCACCCGCTACCACAGCATTGTTGTAGTTGTCGAGTAACGGCTGAAGAAATTCTATGAAATTGGAGAAGTTAATATCACAATTGGGTCTGTACACACAAGCGACCAGGAGCTTGTTCTCACCTGAAAAGAGGTTAATGAACACGTATTCCACAGAGTCACCACAACCAGAAGCACAACATAATATACAAGACAAACAATTTTTAACATATATTTTGACCCCATGGTCATGGCTTCTATCAGCTCTGAACAGTTGGTATCCTTTCACTTTTATCAAATCATTACTGTGATATGATGTGAACCACGTTTCGGAGACACAAAGAATATCAATATTGGAATCCTCAAAAATATATCTAAACTCATTAAGCTTTTTGTACAACCTTTGCGTATTGAGGTGAATTATCTTCAACCCAACCGCTTGTTTGCTTAAAATGCGCAGCATGGTGTTAAGACAGTCTTTGAAACTCACCTGCTTATAGTCTAAAGTCAATACACAATATTTTATATGCACTGCAACTGGAATTTAATAAAACTAATAATAAATTTAACCAGAAATATGTGGAAATAGTGTCGTTTCTTGTAGATTTTTAATTTTGAGGTTATATTATGATTTAAAAAAATAAAAGTCAGTGGTTAGTGTCAGTGCTTTATATTGATGACTTTTAAAAGTAAAAGTGTCTGACTGATTTTTATTTGAGTTTTATAAATTAAAGTCTTCAATAACTGTTATCTAAAACATATAATTTAAAATCAAAAGTACTGTTATTTGCAGATTATTTAGATGAAAATCAACATAATTGTTATTTTGGATTTATAAAGTAAAAACCAGAATTAATTGTAATTAAATAAAAGTCAAAAATAATTCTTAAAGAGTGATTTTTTTAATAAAAGTTTTAACTGTTACGGTCCCTGAACAGATCAAAACATGCTTCAAATAAAGTTACGGTCCCTGAACAGAACAAAACATGCTTCAAATAAAGTGAATCGTCTCGGTTAAAATTCTAACAGAACTGTGTGCTCACATAAGATTTTAGGCTCAATCACAAATATTATCAGTGATATTTTCTAGCCATAGGTACTATGTTAACCTAATCGCAGAATCTACATTTTCTCTTCAAAGATCTCAACGAATGTATTCTGACGAATCCATGCAGTTCACATCAACGTTGCATCAATACAAATGGCTCATATCGCTGCCAAAACTTATTGCAGTGCTCGGCAGGCTATAAATCTACACCGGACGGCACGCAGTGCATAGGTATGTGTGCAACTTTGTGTATCAGTTTTTTTTTAGTTTATCCGTTCGCACTTCCCAAACCCCAGATATTGACGAATGCGAAACTGGCGAGCATCAATGTGCCGAGAATCAGATTTGTCGCAACCGCAACGGAGGTTACATTTGCTCATGTCCGCCTGGTCATCAGCTGTCGCGTATGCGAAACGGCATAAACCGCTGCGTGGATATAAACGAATGCCATCAAGAGCATCCGGCCGTGTGCCCATCGAATTCTCAGTGCCTGAACACAATCGGCTCATATTACTGCGAGTGTAAGTCCGGTTTCCAGAAGAACAAAGACAATGAGCATATTTGCCTCGATGTGGATGAATGTCAAGAGATACCAGGACTATGCCAACAAAAGTGCGTAAATTTTTGGGGCGGTTATCGTTGCACATGTAATCAGGGCTTTGAATTGAGTGCCGACAATCGGACTTGCAATGACGTGGACGAATGTGAAGTGCATAAAACGTACAAGCTTTGTATGGGCTATTGCAACAACGTGCCTGGGTCTTATGAGTGCTCCTGCCCTCGGGGATACACATTGTCGGTGGACAAAACCACCTGCCGTGATATTGATGAGTGTGCAACCGGCGAATTTTGCACTGGGCGCAACGATATCTGCACCAACATACACGGTAGCTACAAATGCACAACTATACATTGCCAGTACGGTTATGTTAATGATCCAGACCAGAAGAAGTAAGTAAATATGCATGTGGGCTATTAGGTAACACTATGGAACAATCTGATCGTTTTTCTTTAGGAGCGCATCATTCCAAACGTTAGTATTCATGCATGGTAATCAAACACCAAGCAATATACAATACACCCCATTCAACTTTTTTCCATTTTTGGCCAAAAACTCAATTAGAGGGCTAGTCATTTTATGCAAAAGTTGGCTCCAAACAAAATTATTTTCTTCAGAGACTTATAATAAAAATTAGCGAGTAGTTTCTCCATAGATAGTATATTGACCTTAAATCTTGAGGGATTAGCTTAAGGGCTTAAATTTTTTTCCTTTTTGGTTGTTGTTGTTTCCGACAGGGTGGGTGTATGATGTATTTTGGAACGAGTTTCCGTCATCCCTTGTAAAATTTGGTTTGGAGACAAACCGGTTTCGGCGTTGTGCCATCTTCAGTGCCATTTTTGGTTTAAATTTTTCACAAAAACATAGCTCGCTTCATGGGCGTAGCCAGAACGAAATTTAGGGGGCCTCCTATTAAATTTTTGTTATTTGAAAACCAATAACTATTACTTACTAAAAAGTTGTTTATTATACCTTAAAATTATTGTGACCAATAGAGGTATGTTGCAAAAAACACATAAACAGAAGTTCACAAAAGTTGATATAAAACCATGATACAAAAAACAAGGTAGTTCCATTGTCACTTTTCCGTCGCCATATTAACAACCTGACAATTAAGCAGATTGTGACATTTCTAAAATACCTCAAATTTTCTTATTAATTTTTTGTCGATTTAAAAATCTTTGTTCTTAAGCAAAGTATGTATTTTATTCCTATTTCACGTGATAAAGCTGTTAAATTGCATACAAAACTTCTTTCTGTGAAACAAGTGTGAAATTCGACATTTCCTCAGCAAAGTACTATTCTGTTCACGCTGTGAAAAAGCTTGCAACATTTTTGCAAAATGAAGCTAGCAACACAATTTTCATGACATTTTTAAATACACATGTACATTTTAAATTATGTGAAAGCTGACAGTTTATAGAATTCAGTAGCGGCGAAAACAAAGGGGGGTTAAGTGGTTAAACCTTACCCAAGCCGATCGTAAAACTTGCGACGCAATTTCAGCTTATGCCTGTCGGTCTTGACAAGAATGTTATCCCTCAAGTTTTAGCTTAACATGGTTCTAGGGATACACCCTGTGATCATGTTACTTTCCAGAAGGTTTCGCGCCCGTTTTTCTGTACATATTTCCATTGGAAAAAATTATAGTTTAAAAAACTAAAACCTCCCTATTATAATTGCCATTCGTACTGTCAGGTATGTAACTTGAGAATAGAAATCGCTGCATCTTTTAGGCGCATCAATATTACATAGTTACATCCCGAGTTAATAAGAGGAAGGTAAAAATGCCTCATCTCCGTATGCTAGGTAAATGCTTCCAGAGGTATCTATGCGTCACCAGAATTTTAGTTTATATGGCTTATACCGCTAGCTCTCGTAGCTGGCTACGAGATCGTTTTCATATACCCCCATTTTTCATAGGTTTGGGATTGATTTCATTTACCTCTTTTCCAAGTTCTACGGTGGCACGCTGCATTTTCCAACAAACCCATATTTTTTCACGAGCTTGAGATTGACTTCATATACATACATATATCCATACCAAGTTCCAGAACTCTACCGTAAATACTTCCAGAGATATGCACTATGAAAAAATTCGATTTGTATGGGAGGTTCCACACCCCCTTTAGATAACGGTTTTGTTTTAGCCTATAATCATTCTTGGAAGATTTGTGTCCGAAATTTCAAAAAAATCGACATAGCCGGTATGGGCATTGTGACTTCTCAAAGGAAATGAACTAATGATTGCAAAAAATTAAATCAAACGTCGTAGTTGACCAAAAAAGAACATTAGACTTCATTCTCTCAACTTCTCAGAATGTAGAAGAGCTAAGAAATATATAATAAGATAGGATAAATTAAAACAGCCTCCAGAACATTTACCAAAAGACGCCCCTGAACTACAGAAATCAGTTTGATTGAAAATTTGTTTTATCTATTTATTTTATACTTCACTTTTGGGTGTGTCAAAACTTCATCTGGACAATGTGTGTTGCTGGAAAAATTTCGCGGCCCATGGGTCCCAAAGTAAATTCCATTTGCTGTTAAATAGACAAAGACAATATGTATTAAATAACAGATCGAAATGTATAATTTCAGGGTCTGAATTATATCAGAATCATCGTATCCGATATAGAAAACTACATTGTGAAATAATCAGATGATCATGAGGACATTAAAAAAATTTTAAAATATGTTCACTAAAATTGTATTAATATTAAAATAATGATTTGGCAAGTTTTTATCGAATTTAATGTAAAATTTAAACGTTTTTAAGATAAGATATTAATTATTATTAAAAGGTAAATATTAACGCAACTATTTTATTTATAATCCCAAATTAAGAATATAAAATCTCCCACACCAAAAAACTTACAATTGGGTAACGCCGCTTCGAATTTTTCACAATTGAGCAATTGTCAAAAATCTGCTTTTTAATCAAAAAGTTGTTTATTGAAACTACCTTCTTTTTTGTATCATGATATAAAACAACAAGCGGACTCATGCGCAGACTGCGCAGACAGAAATACACAGTAAACCCATCCCTCTTTGTAGCCACAGATAGAAGCAGACTGTTCTAATAGTTCGCGGAAATAATAAACTGAATTACTCTTATAAACCCCTTATTTTTATTATACATATATTATAAAGCGTTAATGAGATTTACAGTACATCAGAACTTATACTTATTAGGTACATAAAAACATATTACAAACTGACTGATATACATATGAGTGTCATGAGTTGAGGGAAACATGGTGTTACTTACAACATATTTATCTTTGTATACAATATTTGAGGTGAAAATATATAAAGAATTAACTTTTTGATTAAATGATTCTTTAACAGAAACAATAATATCTGAGAATCGCCTTACTCCAGAAAAGGCTACATATAACTGTCCATGGGAAAACACAGGGTTAGGTAGCTATAATCCAGCTTTGTCAAGAGTCTGGCCCTGGGCTTTATTAATTGTTATAGCAAAAGCTACTTTTATAGGGAACTGTTTTATTGTCATTTTAAGGGAGTCAACTTAATACGGGGTATGATTGCTGTATGTAATAGTAGTAGAAAAGTACGCAGATTCGGCAATTTGTAGTGAATTTCCTTTTGCGAAGTCTAGTGTATTTGCAGGAAAGTTGGCATTTCAAACGAAATATTAAGAATTGTACGTGAATTGTGTAATTTATTACATCGTTTAAATGTGCTTTATTTGAATATAAAAATAAACATATTGCACAAAAACCTATACTTCTAAATATTTCACACGTACATAAGCTACAATTTTTTAATTTGCAAAGAAGCAACACGGTGCCACGGCTAAGGGAGCTTAGTGTGGCTTAACAATGGTAAATTAAAAACAAAAATAAAGTTACAAATTCCTTTACTTTTTAATATTTTTATTGAGCTTTGTACCACGATTGTTTATTAGGACAAATTGAAAAAGCAACAAAGTCTAAGCGGTAGAAGTCATAGCAGCTATTTCGGAGATCACCTCATCAGACTTCTTTTTTCTAGACTTCAGCAGGGATCGAACCTGCGTAATCGATGTGCAAAGTCAAAAGCGTTAACCACTGAGCTATGTACACCCCGTAAACTCTTGTTGCTAATTCATTTTCCTTATTAAACCAACTACTATCAAGTGCAGCTGATTTGCCGCTATTTAAACTTGACGGCGTGGTTGTTGTTGTCAATTCTATACATCCATTTGCATATTTGCTTTATTGTATAGTTTCAGGCAGGCTCTTCCTAAACAATGTATTTGTTGCCTTTTAAATTTTTCCTAATAAACAATCGTGGTACAAAGCTCAATAAAAATATTAAAAATAAAATGTTAATAAGCCACAATAACAAAAATTTCTTTATTTCAGAGGTATATTACCTAATAACCACTCAGGGGACCACTGACTTTTCAAATGACACCTCATTAGTGGAATTGCTTACATAGAAATTTGAAAAAGGGAGTCTAACAAAAAAAAAACACCTTAGAGCAATCCTTACTTCCTTACTAATATTATAAATCCGAAAGTGAGTTTGTTTGTTTGCTACGCTTTCACGCTTTAACTATTCAACCGATGATCATGCAATTTTGTACACTGCTGTTATTTAGCCCAACTTTAAATATAGGATTCATTTAATCTCGATTAGTCAAGAGGAATTTTTCATACTGCATTTCTCAGGAAATATTTTTGGTAGATTACTGGAACTTGGTATGGAGATATAAAAAATCATTCTCTACTCATGGATGAGGGCTGCCACCTTTAAAAAAGTCTAATTCAACTTCAATTGAGGGAGCTATTTATTTGAAAATTATATTAAAAAAATGGATGTCAAGAGGCTTAAAAAAGCTGTAGTTTAATATATTTTTAAAATGGTTGCCACCTGTTTGAAAAGTAAAATTTAAATTAACTATACGCAAGCCATCTGAAGAATTAAGATATGGTTGTCAAACAAAATATTGTTAAGAAACCTTTAGTTTTAAAGATTTGAATAATATTGAAGTCTTTCAAAAGGGTTGCCACCTTTTTAAAAATTCAACTTAATTAGTTTAAATTAAATATTATAATACTAGCAGACCCGGCGAACTTCGTCCCGCACAAAATAATTTTTTATTCACGTTTACGATTTACACTGGCTCGCTCATCGGCTAAGATTATGGTTTGGTGGTCGTTTTCTGCCTTAATTAACCTAACGAAAGTGTTATGTCCGTGATGAAGTTCTTGAAATTCTCTAATTGTATAACATTTCATAGAACGGTTAATCTCATAACGAAATATACTTGAAGAACATTTCCTCTTCACTCCCTTCACGAAAGAAATTTAAGTGAAAATAATTTTTTTTTTTACTTGAATTTATTACAGTAAAAGGCGCGCGATGGTTTTGGCGGTTGATTT